ATTCAAAATACATAATGCAATTTTTTAACTTTCAACTATGGTTTCACCCCTTCTATAAATTAAAAGACAAATAAAAAAAACATTTTAACAAAATCATTTCTTTGTTCAATGTACTCATAAAAAAAAAAAAAAAAAAAATTAAAAATGATATCAACAATACAATACTTGCAAATTTTTTACGTATTCAATACACTATCAACAAAGATAAATAATTTTCAAACAAATTTAACATATGTTATAAACAAAAATATCTCAAATGATGTCTTCTAAAGTTTTCACCCATTCGAGAGTGATATCATCAAACATAATACTTCCAAATTTTTTCATTAATCTAATGAAATGGCAATAAAGACAAGTCATTTCGAACAAATGTAACACATGTTGAACGCAAAAACATATCAAACAACTTTAACACATGTATAATATTTCACGAATATAATATATCTCTTGTTGAATATTGAACATTTAAACCTTGCAATATTATATGAATAGAATAAAATAGAAGACATATGTGCTCAACAACAACTTGTGCATTCCCTCGTTGTTCATCCTTTTGAATAGAGGAGAAGTAGAATCGGAATATTTTAGTAATTATATTTTTTAAGTTTTTTTTTTTGTGATTTCTTTTAACTCTGGTCCATGAGGGATGATTTTAGGCACTATGACTTTAGACTTCTTTTGGAGCTTACCAATACAGATTTCATAGAGATTTCTTAAGACTGGTAATGCTTTATTTCCTTGTGTCCAATTAAATGCAAGAATTGGTGCACCAATACAATTTATGTTTCACATTTTTTTCAATAATGAAAGCAGAATTAGTCGAAGGCTATTTGTAACTGTCAGCCAAGACAAATACTTATTTTGTCACTGTTTTTGTTCTATGTGATGGTGAGTTTTATATTAAAGTCAATGGTGATGTCCATGTAAATTTAGTAAACATTAGAGATTATTTTTTCTCTATAGAAATCGATCAAATATTTGTTTCAAGTGGTTGATCCAGAAAGAAGATGAGCTGTTGTTATCATTTTTTGTTGAGGTTCTTATGGAATAAAATATTGTTATTTTAAGAGTTTTGATTATGCATTCATAACTCTTTTTGTTTTATGATTTATTGCAGCTACTTTCCAATCAACTTTTAGTTGCACTTCGAACAAAGTCTCTAGTTTATATTGGTTGCATGAGGTTTGGACATTTCCTTTCGCAGAAGTGAGAATTACTTCTATGTTTGTAGTTAATGCTAATGGTCGGAAACTGTAATCTTTAATTTCCTAAACAAGTAATTTTTTCATGTCTCGGTGCAACTTTATGCAATTTTAAGGGAGTTGGCAAAGTATATACTTGTTTCTAATCGGTTCTTATATCGTAGGCAAAGTTATTATAATTATGCAATTTTATGCAATTTTTTTGTTCCTCACTAACCAGCTTTTCTTATCAACACATTATTTCTAATCGGTTCACATATCGTAAGCAAAGTTAATTATAATTATTTTTCATTCTAAGTTATAACTTGTATCTACGTGCTTCATATTGGCCCAGAGTTTTCTCTCGTGCATATAGTCATTCGGCTCACTTCAAAATCAACAAGGCTCTATTCTCATTCTGAGATTATTAAAAAATCCACCGTGCTTTTTATATAAAACTAGCACAATAACATCACTTTGAATTAAATATATGCATGTGTTGCATATGCTAATGAAGATGTTTCCGAATTTCATTTGGAGTCAAATCTTCCTATATTATGATAACATTATTTGAAATGTTCAATGCATCATCACCTTGATGTAAGTGGACAAGAGCTTGAAGGATTGTATTGTGTCATATTATTTGTTGAAGTAAGAATCTTGCTTATTGATGCAACCTATAACCGTAGTGCAACTGTATGTGTAAGTGCACTATCTCTCATTGAAGTGTTGTAATATTGAGACTAAATTGCATGGTTGAGCGGGTTTTCATTAGTTGTCTTATTGTGGTATTATTTCTATTTTTTTACAAGGATTGTCCTTCCAACATTCAGCCAAAGACTACCAAAACCATATGTTTTCTTATTCGGTTGTCTGTATTATTATTACTCTTTTATATTCTCATCTTTCAACTCCATCCACAAATGAAGGTTGCTTGTTGAATTTATTATAAGGTACTTAGTCATATCTTTTTTAGAATACACCGCTCAAGATTCTTTTTGTTCTACTAGTTTGTCTTCCCATCATAGGCGATAGGCTTCACATCATAGGTGATGGTTTTGAGAGTTTGTTTACAACCCTATGCTGCAAGGTTAGTCCATTGGAACCTTTTTGTAGACAGATATAACAAAATTCCTCAGTAGTACTAGAAGGTAGCAATAGCACGATGAATGTAAAGACTCCTACATGAGGTAGGTGCTAACATGGATCCTTTTGATTTTTGTTTATGTTATTTTTTCTTCCACATGATATTTTATTAGTTTGTTAAGAACACAAATACGTGGAGGATTCTTTTTCTATTTTGTGGGGCAGGGGAATGGATTTGCAATATAATACCAGTGAAAGACATATAGAGGTTGCAAGTATAAGATACTATAGCAAGGAGTTCGTGACCTACACATATAGAGGTACACATTCTACCCTCTCTTTATTCTCTTTATTAAACAAAGCAAATGCAATATAAAATTAAAGATGCTCGATTATTTATAGGAAATGGAAAGTGATACAAGATACTTATTATAGTATATATTATAGCTATAAAAAAAACGTTATAAAAAGTCTTGAACTTTTAATAATATGGGCTATATTGACGCACGAAAAACGCTATAAAAAGTTTATGATACCGTTTTTCGTATGCTATTGTATCTATTATTTCTTGTAGTGTATACTAAATTCACAAATACAATATGAAAGTAGAATTAAACTACGGTGATATTTATATTTAAGATTAAACTACGGTAATATTTATATTTACCATCTCTTCAGTCAAACGAGCATACCCTTTCCTACTACATGTATGAGGGAGTTGTCTCTTATTTATAGTTTTAAACTTTTCACTTTCCAACTACTCATTGAAACTGAATATTTGCTAAAACCATTCCACGTAAATGGTGGTGTGAAAGTTCTCTATTTAAATCGTTTACCGAATCAAATAAATAAAAGATATAAAAGAGCGACAAATGGAAAGACTAACAGAAATACAAAATATTTGCTTATAATAAAGGGTCAAATATTATACTTATGCTAAACCATAATTAAAGTCTAAATATCCTATCAAGAAAAACAACATACGTAATAGTTGTATCAAAGTATATAAGAATTTCGAAAATATGGTATGCAACTTTTTCGCTATATAGATATTCATTACCATGAAGTTTGCATTAGTTTTTCTAGTCATCTACAGATCGCAAATTATATGACATAGATTACAGTACTGCACCCTTTATTAGGGCATTGTGAATTGTTTTATATTTTTCGGCCCTCCATAATATACTCATTTGTTGAAAAATAAACTTATTTTGTCAATCGTCGTTCACATTGTACCTCGACTAAGTACTAAATAGTTAGAAGTAATATTACACAAGTGACTAAAACTAGATATATGAATTAAAATAACTTCATACATGGATAGACTTGTATAACACTAATTTTAGCTTCGTAGGTAATTTTTTTTTTAATTCTCTAATGTCATCGGTACAACCTCTCTTACGAGTGGACCAAGAAAAGAAGCCAATCTTATAGATTCATTCTCTATGAGTCGTTGATATTCATTAAAAATAAGTTCAACTCTAGATTATCTATCGACAACTATTGTCTTCATCTTTGTAGGACCGATAGAGTTGTTTTATGAGGAATTCCACTAACTACATGATCTTCTTTTCCGATGATAGTTTTATTAGAATCTTCTATTGTCTTCATCTTTCTACAATTTTCATAAAAAAACTAAATAATTTGAGATTATGTACCATTACATTCAAGAGTCTAAGAACTAAAGTTTTTAAATCCATCTCATTTATACTAACAAATAGTAGTTAGAAAATATGGGAAGTTAAGTCGTTTTTGTTCAATAACACTTTGACAAGAAAGTCTTTAGGCTGAGCGAACTGTTTGGGCCATTGTTGGGTGAAACTTGAGGTGGGTTTCTAGGTTTGGTTTGCAACTAATGGATTTGTTATGCAATTTGGGCCGTAACTTGACTTGCAGGTGGGTCATACTATTAGCTTCAGATCATGGGTTGAGGTCGACCCGAATATCCACGGATCTCATCTTCCTCGCTCGTCTATTACGCAATTTTCTCTCACTCCCAATCACGGTGACTCCGTCTCGTCAGTTCCTCCTCACCCACGACGTAATCCCCTTCGTATGTGCCTGTACACTCAAATCTGGGGAGGTATAAGCATACCCACGTCTGCGGTTCAACACCGACAACATAGACATACTTTTTGTGGGTATTGAGGTCTCTCTGGTTGGTCGTTACCCACCGTGTTCTGCTCATCACGGCGTCCCTCTTGGAGTTTTCTTTCCTTCGCTGGCGTCATAAGTTAATAGAGGGTTTCCTCTTCGGTTTCACACTCTTTTTCTTTGCAGGTATCTTCTGTGAGGAGTAGTTGGGTGAGTAATGTCGTTTGGCGTGTCGTGAGGAATGTGGAGCGCATCTCCTGAGGGTTGCCTGAGAATTTTGGTGACCTTTTTTGTGTATCATTACAAAGCTTTTTGACCGAATTAATAGTAACTAAATATTACAGGAATATGAGTTATTTTAGTATAACCTTTTTGTTGTTGCAATGATCCCACTACAATAAATAGGGCTTTTTGATATAGCATTTTAAAATAAATGCTATAATTTTGAAAGTAAAAAAAGGTATTTCAAAGATATAAAACCATTCCTTTCTTTCTCTTTGGTTCTCTTAGCTGCATTCATCCTTTGTCCCCTTCTTTCTCTCTATATACCATTCCCATATGTCTCTCATCCTCTTCTTCCTCTCTGCTTCATCCCCTTCTTTCTCTCATACTCTTATGTTGTTGGTTTGCATCAGTCTCATGATGGAGTCCCCTTCGTTTGCATTAGATCTCAAGATGGTGGGTCCATTGGAAGGAGACATGCATTCAGTGGCTTGTCTACGAGAAACCCTATTTCCTTCCCTAACTGCAAATCAGACAAAATAGAACAAGTTCTGTGGGGTAGATGTGCGTTGATTAGCCAGTAGTAATTATATTTGAAAAATATCGTTGAGAAAATTTATACAAAATGTACTATTAAAAGCGTAGTAGAGTAATTATAACATACTATATTATAGCTTTGAAAAAATGCTATTACAAGTAAATGATTGCATAATATTTTAGCTATATTTAGATATTATAGCATAATATATAAGTTATATTTGCATACTCTATTATAGCGTATATTATAGCTATACAAAAAAGCTATAAAAAGTTTCAGACTTTTAATAACATGGGCTGTCACGACGTACAAAAAACGCTATAAAAAAGTCTACGATAACGTTTTTCGTAAGCTATAGTATACCATATTTCTTGTAGTGTTCCGCTTGTAAGGAATTTTTTTTTTAGCTTTCTGATAATGTAGGAGTTACGTAACCAATATTTTAAGGGTATGAACGATTTTTTTGATTATTGAGAACAATTGTATATTATAAAACTTGGTATCAAAATTTGGATAATAATAGTTAGGTTAATATAAGTTTACTCTCTTAACTTTTAGATTTATATATATTTGGTATCTAAATTTTAAAATGTTGTTAATAGGTTCTTAAAAATCGATTCGATGACTATTAAGTTTGTAAATATTAGTTTTACTTTGTGGATTCTTTGTTTTGTTATTAACTAATCCATGCTAAAATATCGAGCCTTGTTTTCAAAAATAAAAATAATAGTTTTTAAACAATGTACGGTATGATAGGCATTAAGAAAGTTAAACGATATTGAACCTATTATAGCTTGATAAAAAATGCTATAAAATATTTTCGCACTAACAAATATAAGTTATAGCTTCATACTTTTTTATAACATCAATTATAATTAAAAAAAAACGTAATAAAAAGTCTTAGACTTTTAATTGCGTGGACTATCACGACGTACGAAAAAACTTTTTATAGCATTTTTCGTCACTGTGTCCTTATTGGGGTTTTCTTTCCTTCATCGGCGTCATAAATTAACAGTGTTTCCCCTTCGGTTTCACACTCTTCTTCTTTGCAGGTATCTTCTGTGAGTAGTAGTTGGGTGAGTAATGTCGTCTGCCGTGTCATGGGGAACGTGTAGCGCATCTCCTGAGTGTCGCCCGAGTATTCTGGGGACTCGACGGAATCCTCGGGGTTTTCGATGACCTTTTTTTATGTATTATTACAGATATTTTTGACCGAACTAATGGTAACTAAATATTATACGAATAAGAGTTATTCTAGTATAATATTTGGTTGAGATTGTCTCAATTTAGTGAAGGAACATTTGACCTACCGTCTATTTTTTCCAACGTCAATCGAATTGCTTGAAGAACATATGATTATGAATGAAAGGTAACGAAAAAACTTTTCCTATCTTTTAATTTACATGATGCCACTACTAATAAGATAATAAAATAACAAAAATATATCCAAAAAATTTTGTAATTAAGTATTTACAAAATTCAAGAAAAATAATCTTGAAGCTATAATTGGAAATAGTTACTCGATTGGAAGGAAAAAATGTAAATTAACGTAAATTTGATTTTATTTTTTATTTTTATTGAGAATAAGTGACACCACTTCGTTGATATAAGATCTACTATCAAAATTTGTTCTTCATTACCTTCGAGATAATTTGATAAATCTTCTAGAGGGAGTTATATAAGTTTTTTTATATCAAGTTTTTTTTTTTTTTTTTTTTTTTTTTTTTTTTTTTTTTTTTTTTTTTAAGTTAACTTTGCACTCATACTTACCATTTTCTCATTAATTGCTCCATTTAATCTAATTAGTATACATAAAATAGTTAATTGTGGTTTAATATGAAAAAAAGATAAATTTGTATAAATCTTGGTAAAATTCTAGAACATTTATGTTGAACAATGATGTTGTAGCAAATCTGGAAACAACACTACTTGCAAATATGGAATTAAATTGTGACTCTGATGCTTAAGCAAATTTTTTGGGGATGACATGAGAATTTTAATCCACGTCAGCAATCCATATGGGTCATTGACTACCAAATTAGAAACATCCTAGGTGGACGATTTATCCTTTCTCAACCCTAAATGAGAAGAAACAAACATTATAAAAGAAAAAGATACTTAAAAAGGAGGAGAGCACATTTTGGGAAGAAAATCGGATTAGACAGCAGAGCATCTGATGTTGTGAACTACTATGAAACCAGAGAAGAAGGAGAAAAACCCTAATCCAGCAGCTGTTAATAGTAGAAGAAAAAAAAAAAAGACCAAAAAGGATAAATTAGGGTAAAGAGTTGACGTGAGAGCTCAAAGGAGGGAACTTTATTGGAGAACAACAACAAAGCTGGATAACTCTCTATTTCCTTACTCTCTTCTCTTATTCTATCAATTTTATGTGATTGAGATGTGAGTTCTTGTTTAATTCAATTTGTATGGAGAGCTAAACTTTATACGGGAGGCGAGAGAGTTTTATATAGTTTAAGTATGTTGCCAGTATGATTTTAGTTTATTGAAGAGTTAGTTGTCAATGATTTTATGTGTGTTTAATTAGCTATTTTACATACATAGTTGTTCGTAAGCCATGGTGGTCTGTTAGGTTCCTAGCGAATGTTCGGTTTAAATTTAGTAATGAGCTATCCGAACCATAATTTCCTAGCCTTAACATATAACAAGTTCATGAAAATCAACTAGGTGAGCGCACAATATTTATCTAGAATTGTCATACATAAATCATGCAAATAGTCACACATACTCAACAAGGTGATAACACCCATCAAACATCCAGAGCGCGATCACAAATTCTCTATCCTCCTTTCAGCATATAATACTCATAACTACAGCGGAAATAAAGCATAATGGCATCAAACATACAATTCTTACAATTCATCCCATGGAAAAACTATCCACCTAGGGTAATTATACTAGCATGCATGCAAATCAAGAGATTTCTACAAGTATTTCTTCCTAAATTCCGTGTGGTGACTTACATGATTCACGCGTGCCCTTTCGTCTAACGTTTTCACACAAATAGAGTGTACAAAAATAGTGATTTTATTAAGTTAGGTCATAAATCACATAAAAATATAGTTAGAATTGGAATCGAGATAATAAACGAACAAGCGAAAGTCAAACGAATCGAAAACTGTCCCTCACGCGCTAGCCATGTGCTTCCACGCACCTAGGGAAGTTCTACTCGCTGCTGCACACGCGAGGGCCACGCACGAAAGAAATCTATACTTGAGGGTCATTGGACCAAGTTTTGGGTTGATTCAGGTTAAGCAGTTTGGGCCGACTCGGTTGGACCCAGGTCAATCGGGTCGATGGATTGCCGGTCAGACATGGGTTGCAGGTCAGATTGAGCGTAGAGGCTGTGTGCCACAGATCGGATGGAGCCGCAATACTCCACTCCGTGTTCGACATGCGTCCCTCTCGTGTCCAAGTCATGTATCTCCTCTCCTTCTAGCAGATGAAACTCGAAACTTTTTGATTAGTTTTCTTGAACTTTACATTTTTGTATCTTTTGATTTTAAACTCAAATAAAGTCGATTTCTCAGCAAAGTTGTAGACCCTCATCCCAAATATGTCTTGATATTTTTTCTTGATTTTTTACACTAACATAGACCGACTTATGGACGTTGGAAATAGGTACATTATCCTTTCTTACCATTCGTGGAAAAGCTCTCACGACAACAGTTTTCAGTCAAGATTACCGCCAAATTTCTACACAAAATTTGTGAACAACTCTTCCTAGAAGAACATATCAAAATCTTGGGTCTTAATTCGTACGAAATGACTCAGATTTGAGAAAAAAACCGTTTATGGTTACTCAAGAACTTACCTCGATCAAGTTCCCAATTATTTATCGAAAATTAAGGGATAAAAGCAAGGACAAGAGTCTTAAAGAAAAAAGGAAGCCCAAAAAGAAGAAGAAAAAAAAAATAATAATAATTTTTCCAATTTTTAAGGAACTTTCTAAATTTTTAATTCATTATCTAGAAGTAGGGGTGTACACTACCCAAAACTATAAGGATTGGGTTGGGTTCAAGTTCCCAAAGAAATTGATTGGTCAATCCAACCCAACTCGAAAACATAAAAAAAAAAAAAAAGCACAACCACCCCAACCAAACTGAAGTCGACGTCGTATTATCTGTCGCTGCTTACACGTCTGGCGTCATATTATCTTTCTCTAACAGCATCGGGCGTCTGTCGTTTGACCGTGAGTCCTCTCTCTCTCTCTCTCCCTCCCTCCCTCCCCCTCCCTCCC